ACTCTGGAGTGCTGGCCTGGATATGTAAACAATCTAATACCTGTACACTATTTTATCAACTGCAGTATTATTAGTTTTCACACCGACTTTTACACTTTCTACTTAATGGGATGTTGATGTTAGTAATTTCTTCCTTTCATGCCAGAAATTCCAGCTTGTAAAGAAATAGACAGACCAACTGAAAAAAGTTTATACAGATTAGATATTGGATCACAATGTTTCAAAAAGGTGGTCACTCCAGGCAGAAGAATTTGTATGAACACTATGCTTTTGAATTTCTTCAAGCAGCCTTATTTACAGTGATTATTATCATGAGCATACACTGTTCTCTCATTTTTAATGGCTGCGAACAGTTCCCATTACTAAGGTATGCAAAATCACTAAAGCTTTTTCAAACAGAATGCTACCACCATTTTGGCTGATTTTTCTTTAACTTGAATGTGCAATATATTTATGTTAAATCCTGCACGCCAGCCTTTCAAAACTATAGGAAGCTTTTGTAATTTCATGTACACTACTGTATTAAAAGACGAGACCAATAAGGTCAAAGAGATACAGCCAACTGCTGTACATGACAATAAAACATGTGTTGTTTTATTAACATGACACGTTAATAAAACAACACATGCCATTGTTTTGCGCAACCTCAACTACAACTGCTTCAACCATCAAATTCTTACCAGCTACCATATGGAAGTGCTTCAGGATGCTATCCTACAAGACTTACATGAAGGATGTTATATATCTGCAAGTTCTGGTTATTTCATTTCAGCTTCTTGATCTTCATCACAAGACAATGGGGTCTAAAATACATCGATTTCTAAAGGAATTCCTAAATAAAAATTCCTACTTGCAAATAGCGAATCCTTCACCATCTATATCCTGCAGGTTGGAGAGATCTCAGGTTCTGGAAGGAGTCCCCAGTTGTGACTTTGTTATCCTTAATAAGGAATCCTCTTTTTGCAGCTGCATAATTGAGATCTCATTGCTATTTATAATCTTCAGTATTTCATTTTCAGTGAATAAATGCCAGAATTTTCACCCTGAAAATCCATAGAAAACAAGAATGTTGTCTGCCCTGACAAAGACAGTGACATACTGCATACCTTTCATCTCTGTCACAAGCAAACTTTGAGCTCTGTGGTGATGGCTACTCTAAACTCTCCACATTAACTCTAACTCACAATCACAATACGAGCAAGTTAAATGATTTGTTGCAATACATATCCTCCCATTGTGAAAGGTATTGTACCAAAGGCAAGGATTATTGTTATTATGCTATCCCTACACTTTCCAGCAGTGAGTCATAAGATGATAATCAAAAGTAGGAGTCTTAATTTCAAAGCAATAGCCATTACAATCCTCAAACAGTTGACCGTATATGGGGGGGAATCAGGAATCAAGGCATTAATACAGATCCAAATTTCTTCATTCTAGTGCTGCACAGCATAGCATTGCTTGAGAGTTTCATTTGACAGAGGTAATGTGAGGCTAGAAATGTGATGAATCTTTTAAGAAGAATTCAATTTAAAAATAAATTGGAATTCAATATTAGATTTTCGTTTGAGATGACTGGGATGATTCTTAGGCATGGAAGATTAGCCAGATGGTAAAAGGTCATTTATAGTAATAAAAGAAAATTTCCTTTACTGTCAAAAGACATATTTGAAATAGCACTACATTTCCAGACACCTTTCCCCTCCCACACCCTCAGCTCTCACCCCCAGCTCGGGTGCCCACCCAGCATTGCCAATGCTTTGAGAAGCCTTCCACATGTGAAAGGTGCTATATAAATGTATACTGTATATGTTAAAAAAAAGTTGAATAGACTTGTTCAAAATTACAGATATACAAACAACAAACAAAAATTACATTTGTATAGCGCCTTTCATGTCAGGAGGACGTCCCAATATATCTTATTAATGAGCAAATATTGTCTGAAGAATCTTGTGACTGTATTGCTCAAGTGGTAATTTTTATGTCTGAATTATGGATAGTATTCACAGGTGGAGCATACAAATTTCCTCTGTCAACCAACCCCCAGTAATTATACTCTCCTTGACTGGCTGCAGTTGCCCTCTGCTGTTCAAAAAGCATGTTCAATAATTAGCTTTGTATGGCTGATTGTTCAAAGCACACAAGAAAAACTTTTAAAAAGAGATTTTTATATTGATTTGTGCACCTCTGACATACGTTCAGGATAAAATAATTCTGTAATAATAATTCTGTAAATAATTCTGACATTAAATTGCAAGGCTTACAGTTCAGTGAGCCAGTCAGTACAAAAGAACAATTCTTCTCACACTCTTGTGGTTGCTCTTAATGAGTCTGGTAGTCACCACGTACATGTCAAAGAGTTGTTACATGACTATATATTTGTGGTACCTGTGCAGAAAGAGCAATGGGGAACCTGGAGCAAAGTATTGCTCAAAGCTGCAAGCAATCATCTCACATTCACATCAATCAACCCAAAACTCTGGTCTTGTTTGCATCAAATTCTAGGACACCGATCTTTATCTTATTGTTTTGAGTCAGGAAAGTTTACAAGCAGATATCAACAGCTCATGAAACTGTTAAAAAAATGCAGCACAGATCAAATGGGTTCAGACTAAAGCTAAGGGTAGAGCACTACAAGACACATAAACCTGTGTGCAAGATGCTATATAAAGTTGTTTTTACTGTTGAAATCACCTGGCAGGATAATAGCTTTATTAAGATGATGATATTTCTGCCACTTTTATTAATGCTTATCAATTGATCATACCTACACAATAAAGTGTAAAAGGTAAGCTAAGAAAGCCTGATAAGTCCAAGTTGCAATCAAACAGTGGAATCCTCTAGCTCAGTAGATAGAGCACTCGCCTCGCAAGCAAGAGACCTGGGTTCAATTCCCAGCAGGGCGAAACGTTGGGCAAATTTCCTCACTCCACACGCCTAATAATAATCCCTCCAAAACCAAAAACAATAATAAATTGGTCATTTTCAATTTATGACTGTTTGTGAGACATTGCTGTGCGCAATTGGCTGCCGCGTTCGCCCACAAATATACAATCAATTCTCTTTACAGTGTGTTCTGTGAAGCGCTTTGGGACGTCCTCCTGACATGAAAAGTGCTATATCAAATGCAAGGATTATTATTATTGGCAGATTGCTTTTCTGGAGGTAATAATTCCTTAAAAAAATGATAAGAAATTGGTCACTTAAACACAAAAAACAGTGTTTGTACGACACTGCTGTGCACACTTGGCTGCCACGTTTTGCCCACAAAATATACAGTCATTTCACTTTACAGTGAAGCGTTTTGAGATGTCTCAAAGACAAGGTGCTATATCAAATGCAAGGATTATTGTTATTATGAAACATCGGACTTCAAAGTGTGCTTATCGTGAACTATGGCTGCAATTCTGAAATGTCAGCTCATGCAGGAGATCCCAGTCCAAACATAATCCAGTGAAACTACATAATATCATAGTACACATGACATGAGGTATTTTGTTTTGAAATCTAGGCTTCGGAGAAATGTCCTAATCATTATCTCTATGTAACACTGTGTTGCACAAGAAACTAGCGAGGTTGTGATGACTGGGTGCAAGCCTGGCTCAGTGGCAGCATTCGTGCCTCTGAGTCAGAAGATTATGGGTTGAAGCCCCACACTGGGACTTGGTATCACCGATGCTCCAGTGCAGTGCTGGGGGAGGGGTTGGATTGTCAGAGGTGCCATCCTACGGATGAGACATTAAAACGAGTGCCTGTTCAGGTGGACGTTAATGATCCCATGGCACTATTCGATAAAGAGAAGGGAGTTTCTCCCAGTGTCCTGGCCAACAATCCCCCAAATAAAATTGATCACTCACTCCATGGCTGTTTGTGGGTTATTGTGGTATGCAATTGGCTGCCAAGGTTTGCCCACAAAATAGTTAGTTAATCCACTTTACAGCATGTCCCTTGAAGTGCTTTGAGACATCTTGACAACGTGATACAACATTATATCAAATGCAAGGAATATTTATTATTATTAACTATTCAAATTCAACTGGTGTCCTGTTAACCAGCACCAGCAAATGTTACAATCTGTGGGCCTGCAACGGTGTCCACAGGCGACTTTGGATTCAACCATTTTGGCAAAGTCATTGGCGGGGATTAAACCTACGGCCCCTCCACAAGTATCAACTAGTCTCAAACACATGTATCATTGATGTGCTAATGCTCGTAAGCCACTCCTCTGCCCACCCCCTTCACTCAGGTAACACAGAAGTGCTGCCCATCCCCCAACCCCTCCACATCACTAACAGCAGCCATGCCTTCTGCCACCATGTCTCTAATCTCTGGAAATTCCTGCCTCAATCCCTCCAACTCGCCCTGTATTAATCTAATTTTAAATCCCACTTGAAGACCTACCTCTTTGACCACACCTATGGTCACCTCCTACGCCCTCTTCTCCCTTCCTTGGCATCCAATCCGAACACCAAACAGCACTCTGAGACATTATCCCCATGAAAAGCACTATATAAATGCAAGTTGTTTTTTTGGTGCTGATATCACCACACTTAGCAATTTTTACTACCACATTCAATGACTTTTGCTATTCGAAACAGTGATCTCAAATGGTGGTTTTTGAATTCTATTCGCATGTATTCCAAATATTCCAAATGTAGTCCTGTAGCTCAGTGGTTAGAGCACTCGTCTCGCAAATGAGAGACCTGGGTTCGAGAATTACTCATTATTTCTGAGAAAGGAGGGGGGAAAAGTGTTAACTATGAAAACATTTTTTAACATAAGGACATTAAAAGACATCTGTGATATATTTCAACATATTGCCGACTGAATGTTTTCATGAAAGAGATGTTGCTGGTAAAAAATGATGATGTGAAATATATGCTTCTGGGATGTGCTCTGCAATAAGAAACAATCACTTGCGCAGGCTTGTCTGGTCTAAAGGAATTCAAAAATAGATGGATTAAAAGAGTCATGATCAACTGCTGCAAGCAGCACAAGGATACAGTCCCTTCCTGGGAAGAGGATTTTGTGGCGAACCATTTCTCCCATTATGCACCCAACGGACCAAATATCCACTACGAGATCGAAGGGTGGGGGGAGGGGAAGATACGTGATCCCAGAATATTTAAGAATTAGAGTCAGTTGACACGAAAACCATGTGGGTGAAAAAAATCGGAAAGAAAAGAATTAGGGCTTTAGAAAGAAACGCAAATCGGCAAAAGTTAAATGACGGTCCCCAGGTAAACACTCTGTTTTCTGCACTGCGATGTGACGATAAGAGAACAAATTTGTGAAACTGGCTTGAAAGCATTGGCCTGTCATTCTCAGCTTTGTGCCATCAAAGAGAGCCATCTTTAAGGTGCATTGAGAAGTTTATGCTTTATGCAGAAAGTGAATGGCATTCCTGCTTTAATATGTGCTCAAGCCAATTTGTTGGCACATGTGGAAGCCCATCACTATGTTTAAGCATATCCAAATCAGACTGAGAGTTCCATGCATCCCATCTACACAACAAAATATAATCCTTATACGCATATGTCCAGTGACAACACCATGCAGGCACAGCAAGTGGATATTGATAGCATCAGTGGTGGCTTATTAGCAGAGAATGACCTTGTTCATAATAAAAGTTTAAACAGCACAATGCATATCCTCAATAGCAGCAGGTCTTACCTAGACAGAAGCAGTGTGAGAATTGAAAGCAGCTATTTATTTTCCAAGTACAACAATCTGTATTCTGTCACGTCCTTGGCCACAAATTATTGCTACCACCAGCTCTTGGTCCTTAACATTTATTCTTATGCATAACTAAATCTCATGCTTCAATTTAAATGTTGGCAGTCAGATTTCTACATTGTGAAAGAAATATTTTTTGTTTAAAAAACACAAAATTGCAGCAATGTAGTTAGAGGAACGTGAAGGAGAAATTATGTGAATGTTTAGCAATCCTTGTGAAACTGAAAGACTGAAACAGTGGTTCAGATTCCCAGTGAGAAATTTCAGGAAGTATTTCTTTACCTAAAGGATAATTAATGACTGGAACAAGTTACCAGGAAGAGTGTTTGAGACCAGGGTGCTGGATTCAATTAAAAAACAGTTTGATGCTATAGGAAAGATGTTAGGATAAGTATTCTTGAAGAAAGAAATTAAATAGGCCAAATCTTGTGAACTTGTGTACTAAAAGTAATTTCCAAGTTTAACTCAGCTCCTATAAAAGAAAACTCCGAAAAATTGAGTTGTGTCTTGGTCCATCCCAAATGAAAGCAATGGCCAAAATCTTTCAGAAAGACTTCTGGAGCAGAAACCACGTACCAAAGCTGTAGAAATGCTTAGAACTGAAGCCAGTTGATAAATACTTACTGAGATCCCACTGTTTTCTAACAGATGTGACATGTTCTGTAGTGTCCTAAATTTGACCCAGCTAAGTTACCAAAGTTTGTAAGAATAATTCTTAGTTTGGTTTAGACTTGAATGATACTCCACTCCTACTGTCTCTGATACAACTAATCACCGTGACCATGCTGGGTTTGCCAGTAACTGTTACTTGTTAGTGTCTCAATTGCCAGACATTGTGACTTCTAGCTGACAATCAGCAGTGGCATCAGGAGAATGCATGAAAGACTATGAGGTCTCCCCGAACCAGCCAGGTCCAAATAAGTAAAAAAAAACAATATAGTGAGAGAGGTTGCTTTACCTCTACCACTGTTATTTAGTTACAGGGTTTTGTGCAACTGCGTGTGATATCATACAGAATCCCATTGTGTCAAACTTATGATGGGTAGCTGCAAATTGACAACCAAAGCTGGGAGGAAACTGGCCTTTGGGAAAGTAAATCTGGTAACAGGAGTGATGCTCTGTCCTCAGAACCTCAACATGGGTGGTATTCTTTGTAGCGCTCTAAACCTGGCACAAAGAACCTGGCACCTCTTTGATCTCAAACTACATCCACTCTATCAGATACATTCCCAAGAACTGCTGGCTTGCCACATACTCCTCTTTCCAATTTATTTTTATGTCTATTAAATCGAGCAATGCTCGATGCCCTTGATAATGATTACAATCTAGAGAACCATCCCTGTGCAATAACACTTTTGCACTACCAAATGTGTTTTTAGCTTTACCATAATTCAAAGTAATAAATTCCACAACACTCAAGGGTGTAAAATTGACAAAGTAGCAAGAATGGTGATGAAGCAAATCTGGAAATGCGTTATTGCTGTGCACTGGGAGTTTTATACATTCATTATAACTCAAAATGTGCAGAGGACACAGAAAAATAAGTAACTTCTTCATTAAACACAGTATGAACTTTCAATCGGATACTTTGTAGTGATATATGAAGAATTATTGCTGAAGACAGAAGCTGCCATAAATCCCTTGTTGCTTTTCTAGCTGTTAAGTTTGGCATTTTCAATGGAAGAGTGCTCAAAGTGAGTGCAGCTCAATTTCTTTTCCTTTAATAGTTAAAGGTGCTTATATCTAGCCAGCCCTGTGAGGTGCCATGTTGGTTCGCAAGTACTCTGTGCTGGTGGGATATGAGTTTGTGTTACCATTCAATTAATTCCAATCTCAGCCAGGTTAACTGGGGGGAGGAGTGGTGCTAAATGGATTACAACACACTTCTTCACTACACAGAAATGTTCCAGGTAGTTAAGTTTAAATCTCAATGGGCCTCTCAGCCCTTCACCATTTTGTGGTTGATAATAGTGAAGTAGGTAGGGTCTCCCTGGGGTTGAACTAGCTCTGAGAGGGACACTTGGTAAACTTTGGCAGGGCCGCAGACATGCAAAGCATTCTTGATAGTTCACTTGCCTATCTAGCTTACGGAGGTGTAAACATGCCCTCTACCATACAAGTTAAACATAAGGCATTGTGTTTGGGCATTCCTAGTAGAAGTAGAACCATGTTATGGGATTGTCAATATATGTGCATACTTATATTCACAAATGCCTCGATAATTTTCCTTCAGATAAGTGCTATTCAAGTCCATTCAACCTTTGTCACCTAGAGAAGCTACAATGGTCTGGGTTGTATATCTAGTCACTATCAGTGTTATAGAATTTGATCAGGCAATTTTTTTAAAATTCCCTATGAAATGTGACAATTCACTGCTGCTCAATACATAATGTAGAAGTCTGTTTGGAGAATGACAAATTTATCTGACCAGCACATCAGATTATGCGATAGTCAACTATGGGATTCGAACACACACCATCCAGTTGGGTTCATAAAGCTCCCATTGTTGCTTTGTAACTCTTAAATCTGGCAATTACAGTGGAATAGTCTTCCGTGGAAAGTGCAACTCAATTTCATATCCTTAAGAGTGTTCTACCTTCGGATAAGATTACCTTTAAATAAGGTCATTGCAGTATTATACTGTTTGGTAAATAACTTGTTTTTGTATCAAAGGTTGACTTTTTAACAAAATAAGATTTCTTTTAACTGTTCCTGGTGATTCAGAATTCACATTTGGCACTGTATATTCACATTTGCAGTGCGACTCATTGCAATGAGAAACATACTTTGCTAGAACGTGCAACTCTCCAGTAAATATCTCACCATTTTCTTTGTATCCCATTCCCAGAATGACCTCTGGTGCTCTATAATACCGGGTTACCACATAGGGAGTCATCATGAAACTGGTCCCCGCAGTCCTTGCCAGTCCAAAATCAAGGATTTTCAATGTACAGTCTGATTTCACCACTATGTTGCTTGGTTTTAGATCCTGCAAATAGATTGGAGCAAAGTAAAGTACCACATCAGCAAAGTGCAAATATTACAGTGGTGAATAAGTGAGCAACTAGTAATAATGCTGACAGCGATTAAGCCAATCCCAGTCTTCATATCACTAATTCATATTAACTGCTTGGAAAATTAGGTGTACAAATGTTCTCAATAAATATTATTTTGCCTAGGGATTTAAAATATCTTTCTGAACATTATATATGCGACATGAAAATGGCCATAATAACATTGATACAAAATAATACCAAATATTAATACTTGAATTTTACACTTGCTATCAATCATTAAACATGGTCTGCAGAAAATGGGAGGTATGCAGGGTCTCCTTGGGGCTGAATTGACTTGACAATTGGATGTCAGAATCAAACCAATGCTTTGCAGCAGTCCTGACAGTCCGGTTCCTGATCCAGGTTGGTCTGCACTCCACGGCAATGCAGATGACACACCAGACAGCCTGAATTAGGAGTAGAACCAGGAGGGAAAAACCAATGCTTGGGGGTAGGGAATCTTCCAACTCAGCTCCTGTTAACTCTGCAAGCCAAAGCCCTAATGGATAAGATGCTCCTGCTTAGACGGATAGTGGGAAGCTTGCCAGACAGTGCTCAAAAATGGCAGGCTCTAGGGCTTTAGCTGATTAAACTTCAGCAATGCACACTCGGGGGACCCGAAGTCTTGACTCTTGCCAATCTAGGTCTAATACAGGGAGTGAGTAAGCATTCCATTCTACTTCCATGTTTGGGTGGCATATATATGCAGAACTTTCAGTCTGGATTAAATACTCAAAGCATCCCAATGGGTTTCTGCACACTTCATACGCCCAGTGACAAAAGGATTTTATTAACCATGCCATTCAAACCATATCATGCTTCGTATAAGACCCTACAAAGGATGGATTTTCTAAAAGTCATTCACGGTTTAAATTATAGGACTTCAAAATGTCAATGGCTTGGTATGTAAAGAAACAAATTTGAATAATACAGTACTTGTATTTGATAGAGAGCTTCATATTGCCAAAGCATCTCACAGCACCTCATGCTGTCTTACATGATTTTTGCAGTGTTAGATGCCTGTTGTGTAGGAAACTACATCAGTTAATCTATGCCAACACTGGCTCCCAGGACTGAGCTGAATGATCAATTCATCTGCTTTTTGGTGAATGTGGATGAGGGAGTATTGTTCACTAGCGCTCCATGCTCTTCTTTTCAAATAGGGCCTTCTTAAAACCCTCTAAAACTGCAAGAAGAGGTAGACAGGCCCTCTGTTTAACATCTCATTTGAAGAACGGCACCTCAAACAACGTGGCACTCACAAGGTCACACCCTCCACAACCTTCAAACACCGAGGCACGAACAATGTTACTAAATAATTATAATAATCCTTGCATTTGATATAGCACTTTTCACGTATTTTAGATGTCTCAAAGCGCTTCACAGAATATGCTGTAAAGTGAATTGACTTTATATTTTGTGGGTGAAACGCAGCAGCCAATTGCACACAGCAGTGGCCCACAAACAGACGTGGATTGAGTGACCAAATTATTATTGTTATTTTTTCAATAGGGATTATTACTCCTGGAAAAGCGATCCACCAATTGACTAACATCTGAGTTCCTACTTAATGCTAGGTAAACAGAGGCATGTGGAGTAAGGAAACTTGCCCAACATTTAACCCTGCGGGGAATCAAACCCAGGTCCTCTCGCTTGAAGGCGAGTGTTCTAACCACTGAGCTACAGGACTCCGCATGAGCCCAAGTGCCACTTGGGTTAAACATTTAGTGTTCTACATCAGAATTTTCATGTTTAACTCTTGACTCCCCTGAAGCACAATAATGTGATAGCCTGAATTGTATTGCAGCAAAGCAATGTCCAAACAAGTTTTGTTCGTGGCTCCCTCTGGTGGACAATGACACTGATCGCCCTAGTATCAGAATTTTCAGAGAAATCATTAAAACACGCTAGTAATACCTCGTCATTTAAAATGTATTGTGAATAGTTTACTGAATAGTTCAACTCTGCAAAAAATATATGGGAAATTCTACCTGGGTCCAGATTGACTAGCATAGCATAGATGTATTTAAGGGGAAGCTGGATAGGTACATGAGCGAGAAAGGAATAGAAGGTTATGCTTGAAGGCTTAGTTAAGGAAGGGCAGGAGGAGGCTCATGTGGAGCATAAACACCGGCATAGACCAGTTGGGCCGAATGGCCTGTTTCTCTCCTTTATACTCTAATGTAATGTACTATATTTCCGTTGCATCCTCTCGGAGTCTGGAAACTGTCAAATTGTTAAATTTGGTCTTAACTTTGAAGTGTTTTTTCTGTAGCTTCTTAAAAGAACTTGAAAAACATTGGCTTCAAAATTAAGGATGTATCATAAGTGTGTCAAATTCTAGACATTGTAAACTACTACATACATAGAGTTCAGCTCTATTGACGCTAGAGAGTGAAGGCGAGGGTAATCCTGTAAACACTTTAATTGCACTATAGTCAGTGATTCAACTTCTGCTCTCTGGAACTCTAACTTGGAGTCCATCTGACTCGTTCCTTCCTTCCCTTCCCTCATTCAAGGCCCGTCGCAAAACACATGGACCTCTTTAACCATGTGTTCGATCATCTCGAAGACGTCTAAAAGACATGAAAAGCACTATATCAAATGTAGGAAATGTAGGAATTATTATTATTATCTTTCCCCTCCCCACTCATGGCTTCTACGCCCAGCTCGGGTTCACTTTGCATTATATTCTGTGAAGCGCTTTGAGACGTCAAGAAGATGTGAAAAGCGCTATATCAAATGCAAGGATTATTATTATATTAACTGTTTGTTAAAGTAAGTTAGTTGTAAGTTAGTTTACTCACTCATATCTGTACCTTTAAGCAGCTTTAACACTAACTTAAATATCAGTTTTTATTTATGGCTTTTAAATCTTCCCTAAACATCTCTATAAGCTGTTAGCATAAAATTGGTCACTTAATCAACGACTGTTTGTGAGACACTGCCATGCGCAATTGTCTTTCATGTTTCGCCCACAAAATATAGTCAATTCACTTTACAGTATATTCTGTGAGTTACTTTGAGATGACTCAACTACGTGATAAGGTGTTATATCAATGCAAGGAATATTATTATTATTAGCAAACATGATGGAGAAGGAAATAGAGAAGTATGGGAGAGGGGATTAGGACGGGTGGAGGTTTATGTAGACTATAAACACCGGCACGGTGGTGGGCTGCATGGCTTGTTTCTGTGCTGTAACTTTCTATGTGATTCTATGTAAAAGGGTCAAATGTCAATTTGAAAAGCAGGTTCATTGCAAACAGATCCAGATTCAAGTCTGTCAAATTCCAATGACTGACTACCCTCATGTTGTGTTTTCAGTTGATACTCAGTTTTGTAGACAATGCTACTCGCTGATCAGCATCGAGAATGGAAGAGGTTACCAATCTGCATCAGGCTCAGTGGATGCAGTTAAGCTGATTCAGTGCTAAAATCTTCCATATTAATATTCACAGTGAATGCTGGCTGGCAGAAACACATAGGAGCTCAAGGCTAATGAGAGGATATAACTACCCTCGGTTCAGTGATCCTGTGTTGAATACCAGACTCCTAAGGGCATTTCTCCTGTTGGTGGAGAATAATGTTGAGATTGTAATTTATTGTATAGGTCAGATGACTTATATAAATGAACTTGTTTGATTGTTAGATGGAGTGTGCTTTTGATCTCTTCTGTTGTCTCTCTACCGAGTGCATTTTTAGTTGTACAGAAAAATCCTCTTACGTTTGTTTCTAGATTTTCACTTCTGAAATATTTGACCCTTTTTTGTAACCCTCTTCTGCCTGCTGTTACCTGCTCCACACTTACCATTTATCAGGTGAGTGAAGTATTGAATTTTCCATCTATTAGTGCCATGGAAATTTCCACACCTGTCAATAATATCTACATGTGTCCAGCCTGACCTCGCACAACATCTCGCAAAGATCACAAGTTGAGGAAGATAATAAATAAATAACAATCTTTACATTTGATATAGCACCTTCCACATCAGGAGGATATCTCAAAGTTCTTCACAGGATTTAATGTTAATGTTACATGCATTTGTAGGCAAATATGACAGCTAATTTGCCTCAAACAGCTAAGCAGTGAATGACCAATTTTATTTGGGGGATTGTTGGCCAGGACATCGGGAGAAAGTCCCTTCTCTTTTCGAGGAGTATCATGGAATATTTAACATCCATTTGAATAGGCAGGTGGGACCTTGGTTTAACGCCTCATCCAAAGGATGGATTTAATAGAAAAAAGACATAACATACCTTAACAAAAGTAATCAAATACTTAAGATGTTCCAGTTAAGATGAAATTATTGCAATAAAAACTTATGTTAAAGTGTTCCAATTGGTGCTGTGGTGGTCTTATTATGGTACCCAGTTTTCCACTGCGTTTAATGCAACTGAATTTAAACTGCGTGCTTAAATTAAGAGGCATGTGTGTAAACTTGTGTTCTTTGTAAAGTTGTGCCACAGTACATTGGCCTGGTTCCACAAATATTTCTCTGAAACTGTGGCTTCTTAGTGCAGGTAGTTTCTGACTGTTTCCAGCTGAACCAGATTATCCACAACTCCACAGACTATCCTTTACTGCACCAAGCTCCTCATCACCCTCATCTTTGCTAGGCTCCTTTGACTCCTATTTCTCTAGTCAACTGACTTTAAGATCTTTATTCGAACCTTGAAATGCCTCAGTGCCCTTGCTCACCTTATTTCTGCAATCTCCCGAGGACCTGCTGCCCACCCATTCCCTCTGTTGTGATATCTCAATCATTGGTAAATAAACTTTCAGCCACTTTGCCCCTGTTCTGTGAAACCCTCTTCCTGCATCTCTGCCTCACACCTTCCCTCTCCACTCTCAAACCCAACTAAAAGACTAGCTCTTTGTGCCTTCAGTCACCTCCCTCCTGCCTCCTCTGACCTCCCGCACCTCCTGCCCTCCTCAGTCTTCCATTTTGAGACATTTTCCTAAATAAAATGAGCTATATGTTGTTGCAGTTTGTTCCAGAACTATCAAATACAGCCCCACAATGATACCCTTTTACATTTGACATTTTTTGAATAACAGTGTTTACTTGAAAAATAAAAATGCTTACTATGGAGATGGGCTTAGGTTAGGAATCATGAGTACTATAACTTATTGATATTTTTCCTTAATTTCAGTGAGTTTTTTAAAAAAAATTCAAATGATCAAATTGTTGCAAACGCTGTATAAGAGTTGATGCAAAAGATATCGAACACAGAATTCCAGGGACTTGATATATTAGAATACTTTATAGTATACAGCACAGAAACAGGCAATTCAGCCCAACTGGTCTATGCCGGTGTTTATGCTCCACATAGCCTCCTCCTGCCCTTCCTCAACTAAGCTTTCAAGCTTAACCTTCTATTCCTTTCTCCCTCATGTACCTAGCTTTCCCTTAAATACTTTTATTTTCTTTAAAAATAAAGTGTTATTTTAGCATAAAGTACTTACATTCAAATAAATAATAATATTAATAATAATCCTTGCATTTGATATAGCGTTTTATTATGTCTTTCAGACGTCTCGAAGCACTTCACGGAATATACTGTAAAGTGAATTGACTGTATATTTTGTGGGCAAAACGTGGCAGCCAATTGCACACACCAGTGTCCCACAAACCTTCATCGTTGAGCGACCAAATTATTATTATTATTTTTTTGAAGGAATTATTATCCCAAGAAAAGCAATCTGCCAATCGATTAACAATCGTCTTCTACTTACTGCTAGAACATGTCGCCCTGCCGGGAATCAAACCCAGGTCGCTCGCTTGGGAGGCGAGTGCGCTAATCACTAAGCTACAGGACTGTACATATTAAGTTATAGCAAAGCCTATTTGCTTTTATGCGAATCTATTATTCCTACGGTAAAGTAGATGTCTTAAATTGTCCAATTGCACTGAATACCTACCCTGTGAATAATGCCAGCTGAGTGGAGGTGCTTAATGCCACACAACATCTGGTACAGCAGGTAAGACATCCGCTCGTGATCCAGTTCCATTTGAATGACTTGACATAAATTGGCATCCATCAGTTCCATAACCAAGTATCTAAATATAAACAGGAACAAAATGAGCCTGATTTCACAAGAAAAAAATGAATGCAAGTTTCACATCTTGTAATATGTAATGATTGATAGATGGAAGGGAAAGTTAAAGATTCATGAAAACTGTAGATACAATAAAAGACTCATATTTATATCATAATCCACATTACCCCTGCCCTTTGCCACTGTGTATACACAGGGGCTGATTCTCTGATTCTTTCTACATTTACTGACCTTCACAGTGTGAGCTTGGCTCTTTAGTAGGAAAATGATTGAGAATATTGTATGCAAATCTATCAATGCTCTTCCAAAGACGCTATAAGGAATAGTCCAAATGGATTATAATAATCCTTACATTTGCATTTTTTCCCTTCTAAAATGATAATCCTTACATTTGCATTTTTTCCCTTCTAAAATGATTCTGACTCCATTCAGCCTATTCCTTGTAGATTCTATTCTCTTCAGATAAGCATTGATAGATTCTCATATAATATTCTCATGCATTTCCCCACTCCAAAGCCCATTATAAGGTCATGATTTCAAAGTCAGGAAATGTACTGAGGATTGGAGAATTAGCCCTTATACTTTATATACAATGAAACAATGGTCAGGTCTGTGTTATAATTTTGTCATGGAATGAGCTTGGGATGATCATTAACTATTGCTTGTAACAATAGTGAAATGTCGTGGAAACAAACTACTTTTATTTTGCTCTAGTTTTAAAATAACTTTACTTTGGTGGAAGATTTTAAAAAAGTTTTGGCTACATATGAAGATACAGTTAGCAACGGAAATGTGAGGGTAAGAAAGATCAGGGCTTATATTACTGAAGAATGATGGTTATAATGTTATAGGCATGAAAAAGTGACACCTGATCACGATGATAATTATCACATCAAATATAATAAACACCAATAGTTATCATAATTAAGAATCATTTGAAGAAGGCCCTTTAGCTCATTTAATCTCATCCTTCCAGAGTCCCTCCCTACTATCTTTCAATTAAAGCACCAAGTGGTTTCTTAAATTCGTTCAACATACTGACCTCAAATACTCTTCCTGATAAGCTGTTCCAGTTGTTAATTACCTCTGGGTAAAGAAGGACTTTTCTTTTCCAACCTCTTGTTCTGCTGCCTTGGTGCATCCAAAAGTATTGTTCTGAGTTTACTTTCTCAATCCCATTTAAAATCTTCCATATTTCTCTAAAATCCCCTTTGAGACATCTCTTTTCAAGAATAAAACATCCTAGCTTATCTAGTTGTTGCTCTTAGTTCAATCACAAGAATTGAAAATCATCCTCATTGCTCTCCTCTTGACTGCTGCTGGACTGCTTCTATACAAGGCAACAGTAGCTCAGTATTGCATTGTACTATACCCCCGTTGTATGAGCTCAAATCTGATCCAAGCTTGAATTTATAATCTTGTGTCCTAAAGACAAGAAAGCTATCAACTAAGCCACACAGACTTTGACCTATCTCTTTAATACTTAAATCTCACTATATAAGAATACTCTATCTTTTGTCTGCATCTTTCATTTCCCAAACCAGTTGATATTTATCGGGTTTCTAAACAAAATCAAACAAAGAAGTTTTGTGTTTATTTTCTGTTGAACAGAACCCAATTTCCTTGAATCAGATATTGGCCAGCAATCATGCGTAAAATAATTGCAATCATAACTTGTGAAAAAAAAGCTTTAAACTGATTTTCTGCCACAAATATATTAAAACAGACACTTAACGTGTAAACTGAAACATATAATGGTAATAAAGACCTTTGAGTAGGCTTTAATATGTTTTGTTCTGGCTTACTTCTTTGTGGAGTCCTGTAGCTCAGTGGTTAAAGCACTCGCTTTGCAAGTGAGAGACCTGAGTTCAATTCCAGGCAGAGGGCGAAACCTTGGGCAAGTTTCCTTACTCCACACAGAGCCTAATAATAATCCCTCCAAAACCAAAAACAATAATAAATTGGTCATTTTCAATCGACGACTGTTTGTGGGACATTGCTGTGCGCAATTGGCTGCCGCGTTCGCCCACAAATATACAGTCAATTCACTTTACAGTGTGTTCTGTGAAGCACTTTGGGACGTCCTCCCGACGTGAAAAGCGCTATATCAAATGCAAGGATTATTATTATTATTACTGTGGATTCCCAATTTGGTTAAACAAGTAAATTTAAAGTGTTTATACTTCACACAAATGTCGATCCTAGATCTTATCCCAAGGCATCCTGTGATGTTGGTGATCAACTAACTGATGACCCGCATACGCCTGCACAAAGCAGGAAGTGACATCAGCGGTGACCAGATAATAATAATAATCCTTGAATTTGATATAGTGCCTTATCACGTCTTCGAGTCGTCTTAAAAGCGCTTCACAGAATATACTGTAATGTGAATTGACTGTATTTTTGTGGGCGAAACGTGGCAGCCAATTGCACACAGCAGTGTTCCACAAACAGTCGTGGATTGAGTGACCAATTTATTCTTATTATTACCCCCAGAAAAGTGATCTGCCAATCGACTAACAACTGGGTACCTACTTACTGCTAGGTAAACAGGGGCGTGTGGAGTAAGGAAAGTTGCCCAAAATTTCGCCCTGCCGGGAATCAAACCCAAGTCTGTCGCTTGTGAGGCGAGTGCTCTAACCACTGAGCTACAGTACTTCACACAGTTTGGCACTTTTAGCTTGAAAGCCAGCAGGAAATGAACAGCTGGTGGTGGGGGCGTCCACACTTCAATCACATTATAACGAAATCTGCAATTTAACGTGTGTGCTGTAACAGGGCCACCTTTTACTACCATCAACTCATTGCTAATTCATTGTTTTCGTCCCTGCTGTAAGAGTACCGGTACTCAGGAAAATTGATGCACATGATACCTGGAAGGGAGGATGAGATCAGATTACTTACACATCCTGGAACTCTTCTAATGATTTCTGAGGCGTAAATACATTTAATAAACTGATGATCTGCGGAGGAAATATAAATACATAAGTTGTCAGTCACTTTGTTGCTGAGTCACACAAATCAAATTATCATTACCCCGAATGTTCTTATTCTATTCGAACTGCTGAAATAAATCCGACCCTTCTACTAGGCAATATTTAAATTCTCATCCACTTGCAGATTTGTTGAGCCTTGTCAGGCATTATCATACTATTCCAAACAAAATAATGCCATTGATGAAAAGAAAACTTGCCCATAAAATAATTTTGACTGATTTTAATTTCATTGTCTATTGGGGTCATTCACAGGGAATATAAAAAGTGAACAATAATTGAGATTGTGGAACTGTGACCTAGAGTACTTTTATATTTCTATAGCTTCCAAAATGCAAGGCCTTTTTTTCCATGTAAATGGCTGAGTTGAGAAGAACTTTCATTCGGAAAGAATGGTTGTGCCATTCTGAAAGATAATAGGAACACAGGTTAGCAGGAATAGAACTGTGTAATGTATTATTCATATATAATACACAATTTCGTGCTCATTATTACTTAAAGGTCATACAAAATAGGCAATCTAAAATCACACTGGTTTCTATGGAAACCAGCGTGTATGTTGGTAGATACGAATCTGCAGATCCGAGCAAGAATTACTTGTCTATTTTATTGATCCTGTATGCTGTGATACGGTTGGTTCCTAGCAACACAGAATGAGTGTGTCCTGAAAGTTTAGACAATCACAAGAAAACTGCACAAAATAGGACAATTTTTTTGCCCTTTGCCATATGAAAAAGTCATTTTACAACTACCTCAAATTTACAACAGAACCACATGTTGTAAATATTGATTTACAAAAAAAATTAAATGTTTAGAAGTCTTTGATATGGGAAAGATTAAATTTCAGACAAATACTCTAGGTGAAATTAGGCAGGTCTATGCAAATGTACTCATGTGGAAGTGTATGTGGATTGGATTAGGATGCAGCATTTCTCTGTTATTGTAGTGAGGGTCAAAAGATGTCTACGGTGCCAGGGACATACATTGTTACAACAACATTTTTATACATTAATTGGTATTTAGCTATCCGAGCTACATTTTTAAAAAATAGTATTTATTCTGAAATATACAATGTAAAACCATCCTAATGTGAATCTACTCAAAGCAAGCAACTAATAATAATTTCTAAACTGGAATTTATACACTGAATGCTCTCTGGGACCAAAATTCCAACCTGTCTTAGCCTCTCAGACTTTGACTTTAAATTTAAGATTGTGCAAAACTGTTAAATATTGTTAAATTCAGTCTGAATTTAGAAGCTAGTTCTTTTCAACAACTAGAGAAAATCAGCTTCCAAATCAAAACTGAACCTAGAAATTTCCAAAATTTTTATTAACCTCAAATTTTAAGACAAAGTAGAGCTATAGGCAAAGATTAAATGAAACTTTAGGCCATACATATCTCTGCATGCCCTCACCCCTGTCTGTACTTTCTTTCACAACCTAGTACCTCGCTATCAGTAATCTTCTCTGATCCCACATCTCTGTTTCCCCCCCAACCCTTCCCAACCCCCCCACACCACCCTTCCGCTCGGCTAATTTGGGCCTGCTGAATATCCCCAGCCCTCTGCACCACAATCATTGCTTAAGCGTTCAGTTCACTAACCTTTTGAACTCCGTCCCTCTACCCCTCCATCCTCCTCCCACTCTATCCGCCATATTTCCATATCCATATTTCTTCAAAGGTGCTTCTTCTCCCTTTCCCTCACTCAGTGTCTGACCTAATCCTTGTCAAGCTCTCTGAGATGTTAGCATACACACTACCTAAACGCAAGTTGGTGGTTTTGCTTGCAATGTTCAAAAGCAGATCATTATTACTAAACACCAGAAATAAAATACTACAGCATTGGCCAGTGTCAGCTGGTTTCACCAGAGGTGAAAATATTCAGATCACATTAGCAGCTTGTCTAACATTTCTAGTCCACTTCACAAGGCAAATAATTCCACTTATGATAAATGATCCCCAAACAAATTTCATAAACACACATTTCAAAATCCTAATAGTTGTTTTTAATAATAGACATCTGAATTGGTATTGTACCCTTCACAGAACAATTTTAAACATGTTTTTGATAAACGATTGTGTAGTGATTACCTCTAGAATTTCATCAGAGGTGAAATAACACATTTAATTGGAAAGCAGATTGGAATACTTTTGAGATGTAACCAATTCATCATAATTATTAGCTTTAGAACATTGTTATAAAATTGACTGGCTGGAGTTATCGGGAGCTGTCATCCCAATTCCCTACACTTTTCCAGTGCTCAATGTATATTATAATAATAATATTATAGTATATTGTATATTGTTTCTCTTCAGATACTTAGTTATAACTCCAGCCAGTCATTTCACATTAAATGTCTTAATCAACAAAAATAAGAGGAATAGTAAAACGTCACTTTGGGATTTATTCTGCTTGACATGTTCTGGCTTTGAGACCTCAAACTCATGCATTTATATTTGCATTTATATAGTGGGTATATTCATGCGGGTAGCATCTCAGAGCACTTAACTGTGGCAGTGCCTTGCACTCAGCCAGAGAGGGGGAGGAGGCAAAAAATGGAATATTAAAGCGCGTGGCAAGGGAGTGGGAGAGCAGGATTCAGCCAGGCTCATGTGGATAGAAAAACATCAGCACACACATACATGTTGGGCTAAAAGGTCTGTTTCCATACTGTAACATTCCGTTCAGATACTAATAAAAATTATCATAGGCTGAACATACGACCACCAAGAGAAAAATGAACTTAATTTATGCTACTGAACAACAACAAAACATCTTGCATTTATATAGCGGCCTTCATGTGAGGTAGCATCTCAGAGCACTCAACAATGACAGCACTTGATGCCAAGCCAGGGAGAGGGGGGAGGCGACTATAGGCACAGTCGAAGAGGAAGGTCTCAGGCATGATCTGAAGACAGCAAAGGAGGAGGCAAGGCGGAGGGATTGAGGCAGTGAGTTCTGGGCCTAATGCTGAAAGCACATCCGTCAATGGTTGAGCGGAGGGGATGTGTAGAAAGCTGAAACCAACTGATTAAAGGGAGAGGGCAGATAGGGAGTAAGCAGGTCTGAGAGGTAGGGAGATGCCAGGGCATGAACTGATTTGTATGTGGGTGTGAGAATCTTAGAATCAATCAGTTAACTAATTGAACTAAAAAAAAACTTGTTATGCTACTTAACTAAATATGAACATAAATTTTGCTGTTTAAGAATGACACATTGAATTACAGCATGGCTGTCATGAACCTCTATTTAATCTTTCACATATTTGGATGTTACTGTTATCCGTTTATATTAACTGTAGTTAGATAGCATTAATAAACAGTGATGTGATTGCATAGAGAGCATTTCCTATTCATGAATAGTTAATTTTTCAGGAAGAGTAAAAGCATTAGACTAAAAGATTACACTTTTATAATACACTTCTTACATTCTTTAAGTCAAGATTTTAACATAATTCATAAGGATAATCTTCATGTAATCTTTATGCAAAATCCAAGGAATAAGCAATTAATTCTATTTCCTATCTTCCAATGCTCCAGGATGTTGCCACTAATCACAATATTAGTCAGCTGTAATACAGTACTCCTGTGTTTGGTAAATATTATTAATTTCTTCTAAGAATAAACACCTACTGTTGTACACAGATGTTGCATTATAAGTAGCAATCTGCTGCAGCATCACATCAATGGACTATATAATTAATAATAAATAATAATAATTAATAAGGATTAATAATAAATGATTTGCAAAATGCTTCAGTGTGAAAATCAGGTAAAAATATAATCTTTCAACTTGATAGTGATAGTGTTGCATATTCTCAATGCAATTCTGCTAATGGCACAAGTTCACAGTACAAAGGCATCTATAATTCAGCTCCTATTAACACTGAAATGACAAACCACTGAAAAAAGGAAATAGCACATGGTGCATTGGAGTAGAGTAGAGTTGCTCTTCTGATGTGGGGGCAGGAATCATTGAGAGAAGAGCACAAGAAGGTAAAAGATGACAAACATTTCAGTCGCTGATATCCCTAATCTTGATCAATGCAAAATTCACTGAATGCTGCACTAACAAAGACCTTGAGAACCACACACACAACAGGGTTCATAGAAAATAATGGAATAACTTTGTAACTCTTAGAAATATATACCATTACTTTATATATTTTTGATGTATTGTTGCATTAGTTATGCACTCAATAGAATGTACACGGTGGCCAGTACAATAGCAGGTACCATAGCTGGTTTTGCACCATACAACTTTATGTTCAGTCCAAATAGATCACCGCAGTTGTTCTTTTTGTACAGATATACACTGGCATAACTAGAATCTAAAGATCAACAATACCACTTATAATAGTACCACTTGTAATACTAAATGGAGACGCAACAATTAATTGCTTTGCGAAGACATTGACTTTATGTGAATGAGCCATATAACTGCAAGCAAATAGTCCTTGAACATATTCAAGACTGAGATAGATATATTTCTTATTGCAAAAGGGATTAAGGGATATGGGGATAAGGCAGGTTTATGGTATTAGCTGGAGTAAGATTAGAAGATCAGCCATGATTGAATGGCGGGGCAGGCTCGAAGGGCCGAATGGCCTACTCCTGCTCCTACATGTTATGTTGTGTTAAGCTATTATTGCACAGAGGAAGGACTGCGGGATTAAACAGCTATTTGCATTGCAGTTGTTATGTATTTTTCACACAACCTCAACATATACGACAAATGTAGCAGGGAAATGAGAGAACAAAAGCTGTGGAGAGACTTAGTCAAACGGATGATGGGGGTGAAATTAGTGACATTTAATAATAGTTTCAATGTGAATAGTTATCCCAGTGATGGATACAGATACAATCCAAGATCACACTCACTATTCCAATGGAAATTTACAATCTGCTTTGAGCTGACAGTAATGGAACAATTAGGTAACCCAGTGTATTGGAGAAACAATGCCACACAATGTTCTTTGCAGTAAAACCTAAGGTTAGTTTGAAAGAGTACAGATCACACTGTGTAAACTGTCATGCAAATTCACATCTTCCCTACATTTCTGGGCAATGTTTTCAGTGATGTTATTCCCAGTGGAATGTCTGTGTGACTAGAAATATTTAGGACATGTTAAAGCACTAAAACTTACATTTTTGTGGTTGACACATTTCATGAGCACAAGCTCTCGGTAAGCCCGTTTGGCATGTGTCTGGTTCTGAAATGGTCTGCTGAGTTTCTTAATGGCCACATTTCTATCAAGAACAGCATCGTATGAAGCACTACATGAAGGAACAAAATGACAAGTACTGTTAGTCAGACTAATTGTGATCCTAATATTAGTGCAGAACTAGTAACATTACAAATTAACATTGTCCTAAGTTAATAATGTACACACAAATCGTTGGTGGTATTAGCAGAGCGTGTTACAAGGCAGTGTATTCAGCATTTGTAAATTATGTTTTTTGGCTGTGCGGTTTCATCCATACCAATCTAGAAGGACCTCAATGTAATAATATCAATTTCTGAGGACTGAAGGTGTCACCAGAGACTTAAACAATGGCTGAGAGATAAACTCAGTCCACACAGTAATTGCACAAACACACCCCAATGGGTACATTATAATAATTAACACTGAAATCATTACTGAAAGGAGTGTTTCAATAAAATGTTTAGTTTTTATAAAAAACTATCTCCCCTCATTAGGTCCCCTGTAAAAGCGAGCTGGCACCCAGTGCCCTGGTTTCTGTGAGACATTGTTAGAGTAGTGTAGGGGAGCCTGCGGGTATCTCATCTTCTATTCTCCTATAGGCAAGTTCTTAACTTTCAATCTGTGCCTCTTTCTATCGGCCCAACACTACTGAGTAAAAAATTCCTCTCAGGTTTTGACAAATCACATTTGTATAGCGCCTTCACATCAGGAGGACGTCCCAAGGCGCTGGAGGCACTTCAAAGGTACCAAAGGTCAGACATAGTGATTGTTTACAGGCAAGCCTGGCAAGGTCCCAGAAACAGCCACGTGGTGAATCCAAATTGATCTAATTGATGGGCACTATAAAATTAAGCAACAAGCTCTGTGGCTTAAAGCTCTATTGCTTTACTATGAAACTACAGAGAATTTTAGCTCATGGAAAAATAAAAAAGCCTATTTTATAGGGCAACAATGCCTGAAAAACAAACATATCTCCAGATTAAGATGTTTGCAGCCACAATCTCCCTCTGGCTGAGGTTCTGATATTACTCAGCGTATTACTGCAGGGTCAGGCAAGTTAGAGCTCTGTGTGCGTGCACATTGAAGTGGATGCATGGAGTATTGCTTAACTAGCTGCCAATTTAAGTGAGCTTCTAGCATTTGGGATAGTCCAATCCTTTCAATCAAAAGAGCTGAAAAGCTGAAAGACTGCTGGGAAATTGTTTTGGCCAATTTTTTCCAAGTTTTATCTCATTTTAAAAAAAAGTAAATTAAAAAGAAGCCTTTGCAAAAGACTGAGCAAGGTCCCCTCCTGTTTATTCTGATACTAGCAAGCAGCAGCAGGTTTATACTGACCTTTTGCCAATAGCATATCAAAAGCTTACCTTGGCATCAATATCAAAGGCATAGTAAAGAACTGGAACATTTGTAACTGGGCCGACTATGCCACTAATACATTAGACAAACAGTTAATGCAGGACTCTTTTCTGTCATGCTTCAAATAGTTCAACTACACCCACAGTTTTCAGCTACTGAAATTTGGGTTTGGATCAAAGGGTTGAGTTTTTTTTTAAATAAGTAAATGGATTCCAGTTAAAATCATATTAATAATGTTGTTCATGGCCCTTTGTATTCTCAAAGCCTGTTCTGCTCCCTTGCACCTGATAATATCAGACATGGTTATTCCAGAGACGTCACATTGACCACAAGACTTTTGTTTGGGAGTTTTGGTCCAAACTTTGAAATATGTTATCAACAAACATAGGATGGAATATTTAGTTTTCATCTCTGCTTCAGTAAAACCATGCAGAAGTGAATGCAAAGTGATCTACTGGGACAGAACTCAACCACATACTGTTTCCTGCTCTGTCGTGTTCTGTTCCAAGAAGCTCCCAGTGAACATATTACTGTATCTAAATGTCCTGTTGATCACAGAAAATGTGATGTCCATGATCAACAGGACTTCTTTGTAAGTGAATGTAAATGAAGTCTGGATAGGTATGGCACATCAACTTGGAGACAAATTCTCATCAGTCATCATCTTGAACACTGGGACTCCTACAGGGGATGTACTTTAGGTCCTGAGGTGCCTTTTCCACCATAGAGGCACCATTAACATTTATTACACATCAGTATTAACGCACCAACATTACATTTTTAATCCCAATGTTACAATTTATGCAGAATTATTAACTGAATCACTCTGGAACAAAACCACATGCTAAAATTCATACTGGAAAATCAATATCACATCATACGCCTCAAGGTATGTCCAGTAGCGAGCGAAGTGAGCTGATAAGATCCAGCACCCTTGCAATTTAGAGGCATTCACACTCAATCCACTGGAGAGCATCTTTGGGAGGCAATGATTGAGAGGAACGGTAACAGGCAATACATAGCCTTTGTCAATACACCTCATACATGTTTGAGGCTACCATTCTCCAGTCTAAGGACAGTAAATTAAAAATTGTATTTCCTTAATTTTTCATACCAATTAATACTGAATGCAGTGTTAGTCAGTGTAAAATCAAACTTCAGATATGTATTAAGCAATGAAAGGTAACTGCCCAGTTAGTCCTTCACTGATTTCCAGGTGTTGTGTGAATATAAGTGTGATAAATGACCTGAATGGATTTGTGCTTTTCCTCTTCTTTTTTGTCCTTTGTTTCGCCCACAAAATATACAGTCAATTCACTTTACAGTATATTTTGTGAAGCACTTTGAGACATCTCGAAAACGTGATAAGATGCTATATCAAAAGCAAGGATTATTATCATTATTATATTATTTTTTGTACTTTCCTTTTATACAATTCATCCTCTTGTAACTGACTCTCCCTCCCTGGATGGCCAGACCATTTAGGAGTGGGCCAGCCATCCAGTCTCTCAGCAGTGGAGGCATCATGGTCTTGTTTGACATGACACCACGTGCTGAAAGACAAGATGGAGGCTTTGCTGGCAATACCCTGTACCTATCCCCAGGAGGCACCGGAGACTACCAGGCATTTCTTTCTCAGATTTTCCACTGCAATAACTCCACTCTGCATCTCCCATTTGTTGTGGCTCAAATCAGAAAAAAAGGATCATTCTTAACCTTCATCCCTGCTCCATAGCTCTGTGGTATTACTGTAACATGCTGTATTATCCTACCAACTGTCTTCTCAAACCCCTTTTTTGTTTGTTTCTTAGAGGGATAAAAATAGCAGCCAGATACAAACATGACTCTAGTGGTTGCTGACGACACAGTAAGACATGATGGAATTGAACATGTCTGTCATGGACCTCCTACAGTAACATTGATTCAGCAAATGATGATTGGTTCTGAATACAGGGAGAGTGGGAGCTAATTGGTGAGGTGCACAAATGGATTTATAACTAATGAATCCTGCAGGAATCTGGATTTGTGGGAAGCTGAGCTTCCCAGAGGTGAGCTGAGCTAGGAGCTCTGCTCAGGTGTTGATCTCAGTTCAGAGTTCCGTGAAGCCAGATTAATAATAATCCTTGCATTTGATACAGGCCTTTTATGCTGCAGGACATCGCTAAGCATTTCACATTGTTTTCTTCTGTCAGGTATAGTGACTCTATATTTGTAGGTATATGTGGCTCTCAATTTGCCCACAGCAATATCCCACAGCCATGAATTGCATGACCAATTTTATCTAGGCGATCATTTGCCAAGAACCGGGAGAAACGTCCTTCTCTTTTTGAACTGTCCCATTGGATCTTTAATGCTCACCTGTATAAGCAGACCAGAACCTCAGTTTTAATGCCTCATCTGAAGAATGGTACCTCTGTAAAGCAGTATTCCCCAATACTGCATTAAAATGCCAGCCTCGACTATAGACTCCCTGACGTAGATATTGAACACATATCTTTCGAACCCAGAGGTGAACTGAGCTCGGTTGACTTGCCTAAAGATGGAAAATCAAAAAATGAAATGGAGAGTAGTCTCCAGTCCCTTTTGGTACAGGCTGGTAGCAGCCACCCTGGGAGCAGGGTAGCCATCCAGTCTCTCAGCAAAGTTGTCAGCATCAGACTGACAGAGATGAGGAAGGTAATTTATTTGTGGATGAATTGCATAAAAGGAAAGTATTAAAGAGATGAGAAAACCATACAAATTCATTCAGGTCATTTATCATACATGTAAAAATATTCCTACAATACCTGAAAATCAATGAAGGAGGCTCCTGTCGCCTGGCAGAAGATTGATATGTGAACGATGTTCCAGCAAGTCAGTCTCTGACACGTCCAGGTATGTGCAGATTTGCTTGTTATAAATCCATTTGTGCCTCTTACAAACTATACTCTAGTTCACAATATGACTTTTTTGTTTGGGAGAGAGTTCTAAAGCTGGAGAAATGCTGTAGGAAAGTATGGCTAAGCTCCACCCTACCTAGAGCATTTACAAATTGAACTTCCTTGATATTTGCATTGCAAATGTAAATTGTAAATGAACAACATTGATCAAGGGGCTCACTCCTTTGAGTTTGTGCTTTTTAACCAGTCTTTGTAAATGTACAGTGTGGGTGGGATTGGGACGTCCTCCAGACGTGAAAGATGAGATTCAAATGTACTTTGTTGTTACTGTTGTTGTGGTTTGTGCTGATACTCCAAATGGGAAGTTTGCTTGTTTAAATGTATGTACGATGTTGGTTGAAACAGTCACACCATGTACTCACCATACAATTCCCTGAGCACCAGAGCCAATGGGCTTTAGATTCTGGTAGCGTTTGAGAACTGTGAAGGTTGAATCTCCTACTTCCACACTGTAGAACTGGTTATCCACTTTGCTTTTACTCATGTTGTAGCGCTTGGCAATATATGAAACATCCACTTGTTTACCAAATCCCTGAAAATAAAAAGGAATTGGAAGACATTAACAATTGCTTTAGCTTGTGCATTTTCTGACATTAGAACAGCTCTTTGTTGTCAATGTTACAGCTGGTAATCCTGCAATAAAGTCATTAACTTCATTATGCTGCTCTGTTGCAATTGGGCAAAATTTATTCTATCATTAGATCACAAGTTCACAAAATTGGTTTGATGAAGAAGGCCCCTTGGTCCATCCAATCTCATCCCTCCAGAAGTCACCTTAGCATCCACCTATCACAACATCAAGTTTCTGGCCTCAACCACCCTTCCTGGTAATCTGTTTCAGTTATTAATTACCCTGTGGCTAAAGAAAGACTTTTTGGTATCTATTGTGAAATTATCCTCTGCAAGTGGTCTGAAATGGTTGAGAGGGAATCTATTCTCCAGAATTGTATTCTGTTTGTGGGTATGGGGTGGCCAGTATTTATTGCCTGTCCATAGCTGATGATACAGGAGCATGGAATAAACATCAAATTGATCTTAAGCTTCTATTCCAAAAGATAGTTTTCCAAACTCTGCTATACGCTCATAATATTTCTACAGTTATTCATGTTGTTGTGTATTGCAAAATAACTATACAGACCTTACTCTTACCAGTTATCAGTTTAGTGAGCAGTACATGTGCAAGATATGAGACCCCAAATCTCACTTTGCCTTACCTTGTGAGATCTTTTGTTCTTAACAACAACAACAAAATTACATTTGTATTGCGCCTTTCACATTGGGAGGATGTCCCAAGGTGCTGGACAGTCAGAGTTTCAGACCTGAGCTGGGGGTCGGGATCGGGGAGGGTGGAGGGCAGGGGGGGAAGCAAGACGATCGACAGCACAGTCGAAGAGGAGAATCTTGAGATGGATCTTGAAGGAGGCAAGGGAGGGGGCGAGGTGGAGGGACTGCGGGGTGGAGTTCCAAAGAGTGGGGGCAGAGCGGCAGAAGGCCTACCCGCCAATAGTGGGCTGAGCGAGGTGGGGCGGGGGAGGTGAAGCAGCCCGCTGAGTGGAAGGAGCAGGCAGGATGGTAGGGGATTAGGAGATCGCAGAAGTAGGGGGAAGCCAGACCATGGAGGGCTTTGAAGATGAGGACCAGGTTCTTGAACTGTGTGATGGGAAGCCAGTGGAATCAAGCGAGGATGGGGGTGATAGGGTCACGGAGCCTTGTGCGGGAGAGAACACGGTCTGCAGAATTCTGGATGATCTGCAGCCTGTGGAGGGAGGAGTTGAGGAGGCTGACAAGCAAGGAGTTTGCATAGTCAAGCTTCGATGTAATGAAAGCATGTATGAGGGTTTCGACAGCCAGCGGCGTGAGACAGTGGCAGAGCCGGGGTATATTGCGGAGGTGGAGGAAGGCAGCGTGTGTCATGGCACAGATGTGGGGTAGAAGGGATAGTTGAGGGTCAAACAAGATGCCATGCTGCACGAGGCAGTGTGGGGGCTAGTGGAGTAGCCGTTTGTGGAGATGAAGAGTAGGCGGTGTGAGAGGTACAATCTGAACCAGTCAAGGACAGAACCATGAAGGTCTGAGAGGAGAGGCGGTGGATGAGGATGAGTGGTTGATGATGTCAAAGGTAGCAGAGAGGTAAAGGAGGACAAGGAGGCAGAGGGAACCCTGGTGGCAGATATACAGAATGTCAATTGCCACTTTGATCAGGGCTTTTTCTGTGCTGTGGGCTACACAGAAACCCGATTGGAGGGATATGTGAAGGAAGTGGCTGAAGAGGAAGGAGTGAAGCTGGGAAGCAACAACTTGTTCCAGGACATTGGAGAGGAAAGGGAGGTAGTTTGAAAGTAGAGATGGGTCCAAGAAGGGTTGTTTAAAGGTCAGGAGTGATTAAGGCGGTTTCTAATGGGGTGGGAACAGTACCAGTGGACAGAAAGAGGTTTATGATGTCTGTGAGTAGAGGGGCAAGGAGGTGGAGCTGGAAGGTAAGGAGAGGGGTAGGGATGGGGTCGAGGGAGCAGGTGGTCAGTTTTATCCAGGTTATAGTGTTGGTGAGAGAAGAGCGGGAGACAGGTTTGAAGGTGTGGAGGGAGGGATGAGTAGGGGCCGGGGTTGGAGGGGGAGATGGGGAGGTGTAGCAGCCTTGATATGCTAAGGCTGGGTGGAATTTCGGATCTTGTGTATGTTGGCAAGAACATAGCTGGATTAATAGTAAGGAAGGATAATTTTAATTGCCTTAGAAATTTATGTAAACACATGAGATCAATCATTTGCAACAGAGCTAAGTATGAAATGATTTTGTACTTTAAGAAACAAATTTGTCATCATAGTTATTTAGTTGCATTGTCCAATAATAATAAAGTATTTATTTAGTACTTTTCTGTCTTATAATAATAAATAATATTAATCCCTCACATTGGGAGGATGGTTTAAAGTGCTTCACAAGATTTATTGTAATAATAATAATCTTCGTATTTGTTATAACACCTTATCACATTGTCGAGAAGTCCCAAAGAGCTTCACAGGATATACGGTAAAGTAGTTTGACTATTTTGTGGACAAAACACGGCAGCCACTTTGTACACAGCAATGTCCCAAACAGCCATGGAGTAAGTGACCAATTTTATTTGGCGGATTGTTGGCCAGAACTGCAGGAGAAACTCACTTTTCCTTTTGAATAGTGCCATGGGATCTTCAACTTCCAACTGAAGAAGGCCCTTCAGCCCATCCAATCTCATTCCTTCCAGAACACCCACCCTACCATCCCCCCCTTGGATACAAAATACAATACAAAATTACATTTGTCAAGCGCCTTTCACATCGGTAACGACATCCCAAGGCGCTGAACAGTCAGAGATTAGGACTGGAGCCGGGAGGGGGAGGGGTTGGGATCAGAGAGGTTGGAGGGCAGAGAGGGTAGGAGAGTAGTCGAAGGCACAGTCAAAGAGGAAGGTCTTGAGGCGTACCTGAAGGAGGCATGGGAGGGAGCGAGACGAAAAGAATGTGGGATGAAGTTCCAGAAGGTGAGGGCAGAGAGGCTGAAGGCCCAACCACCGATGTTGGGGCAAGCCAGGTGGGGTCCCGGAACAGGCCATGGCCTGCTGAGTGGAGTGAGTGGACAGATTGTTAAGGGGTTAGCAGGTCGGAGAGGAGGAGGGGGCAAGGCCGTGGACGCCCAGGTTCCTGACTGGCTTGGTGAGGTGGAGTGCAATCTGATGCTGCCAGTGCCTGAGGTACGGAGGCTCTGGCAGAAGCGAATCAGGAGAGCCTCGGTCTTGCTGACGTTCAACTGTAGAAAGTTGGCTCTCATCCAGGACTTGATGTCTGACATTATGTGAACCTGGGGTTGAGGGTGGAGGCAGAGATATGGAACTTGACTCCATGCAGATGATGTCATCAAGATGGAGCATGTACAGGTTGAAGAGGAGGGGACCGAGGACAGAGGCCTGAGGAACACAGCACGAGATGGTGCAGGGACTGGAGGAGAAGCCATTTGTGGAGACAAAGTGGAGCCGGTGTGAGAGATAGGATCTGAACCATTCAAGGACAGAACCTTGAAGGTTAAGGTGAGAGGAGAGGCGGTGGATGAGGATCGAGTGGTCCACAGTGTCAAAGACAGCAGAACGCATCAAACTGATTTTTTAAACGACTTCAGTGTCCTGCCGTCCACCATCTCCTGGCAAGCTGTCTTGAAGTGCCTTACAAAATTAACTCATCAGGAGTGAAACGAATATTGCTAAATAAACAAATGCAACAACAAATTAGCACCAACATCTTTTAACCAAAAATTAATAATGTTGATACACCTAACGCTCTGGTCGGAACTATAATTGAATTTGTTCTTTGGGTGCAAAGATATCGTAAGACAGAATGATGCCAAGTCAGCAGAAAACCTTGCTATTGGATTCGCTTCTGGGCCCCTATTAGTGCCCATATATTCACTACATTGTCTGGTATTTATCCAAGTATAAATAAAGGGAAACTGAGAAAAATCAAGAGCTGCAAATGTTCACAAGCCATAATCCAGTACCTTTGTCTACAAATTCAAAATCACTGCACTTTACAGTAAAACCCTGTGAAGCTCTTTGAGATGATCTCCTGATGTAATATTATTATAGGACTCGGCTAACTCAGGTGCTGTGTGAACTCTCTCTCTTTGGACCACCTTCAGCAGCTGAGCTTTTGGTTCCTCTGTTATTGTAAATTGTTCCGAGACATTAGCCAACATACATCTGGCCCTGCCATGGTAAAGACATAAGCCTACATATAGGATGCTATTTAAATACAAGTTGTATATAATCACATTAAAGACTGACGTTAACCCTGTGATATATTAAACGCTATCAAATCACAACCCATGGATTCACTACTTTCATGTGTTGCTGAGTTCATGGGACTTACATTTATTTTGTCTTTTTTTAATTTTTATTTTCTAATAGGTATCTCTGGTCAGTGTGTTGGATTGACTTCCAAAGAATTAATGAATGTGGCTGGTTCACTGTAGGGGCGTTCAGGGCCAATCAATAGTTCTTAGCTAAAATAATAGCTGGTTTGTGTTCAGGAATAAATTCATCAGAGATTTCTGTGAAGTATTTCCATTCGAATAAACTGAATAATAATAATAATCCTTGTATTTGATATACCTCCTTATCACGTCTTTGAGATAGCTCACAGAGTGAGACAAGTGCTTCACAAAATATACTGTAAAATGAATTGACTGCATATTTTGTGGGCGAAACGTGGCAGCCAGTATTCACTTAAGCGCTCTGGGACGTTACCCTGTGTGTGGGGCGCTATATAAATGCAAGTTGTTGTTGCTATTGCTTCCAGCAGCAGAAATGACTGCAGTGAATATTGAATTATTTCCAACTACTTGGCAGTAACAGTGAAACCATGCATTCTCAGATCTGGTCAGGTTGGAGGCTGGCAGCTGCAAACAACCTGCCTGCAGTACATTGAATGAGTTTAGTCCTAGTCATACAAAGCTGATACCTTACAACAAATTCCCTTCAGATTGATTTTAGAAAGGGGGGATTTGCG